TACTCCATATGGAAAAAGGATGACACCAAGTCCCAAACTATCTTGCCACTGCTGCCCATGTAGTCTGGGCATCCGGGGGGGGGGGGGGGGGGGGGGGGGGGGGGCACGTGACTATCTAACCTCGTAAATCAAAAAATTACATATATAGCCTGTTGTCCTCTCACAGGTCTTGTATATTTTGATACCATATCTGGCTCGCTTGCTGGGGAGCAATTGAATGCAAGGTGGCCAGAAAAACTGAGGGTCTCATCAACACAGATGTTTTGCTGGGGAGTATACGCATCTGCAAATTTGTGGTTAAGGTGATTTCCGAGGGGCCAAATTTTGTTGAGCCGGTCAAATTTAGTGTCACCCCAAGGAAAACAAGCAAGCACATCCGCAAGGACACTATAGGCTCTACGGGCCTGTGTTCAAATTCTTGGTGGCTGCGGGACACTCCTTTTACTAGCCACCACAGCAGCTTGTACTGTAGTTATGGGACTCTCCACATTACCAAGTGATACTGCAGTGCTGCTGTGTATAAGACCAGGATGTACTAGGCCACTGATGCTAGACAGTTAACCAAAAGGTAGAGTGATACTAGTACTGATACTCTGCTGCATATGAGAATCATCATGCAATTGTAACATCTCCGCAACTTGGGAACGGGGTTGAGTATCCCTTAGCAGGGATTTCTACTCCATCGCCTGAGCTATCTTTCAGGGTGTCGCTGCTGTCTACAGATTTGTATTCAGTGAGGTTCACTAGAGTACCTTTTGTTGGACGTTTTGGCCACTTAATTTATAGGTAGTGTGACTCATGGGAAAAAGAGCACCTGGCTGTTGGACTGCTAGAACCACTACAAAAAAAATTACCTGCATGTGCTAGCATAGATCAGCCCTGATTCTGCTAACACTGTGGTTTTGTGTGCAGTGTATCAAGTGATAGTGGTCTACTGACACTGTGTTTGCTGGGGGAGAGGTGAGGGGGGGGGGGGTTAATCGTAGGGGCGAAATGCTGGTTCCAGGGCTGATCCTGCTGACGCTGCGTTTTTGGGGATACTATACTATTGTGAATATAGTTCTGATCTGATCAAAGATATGGATCTGTTCAGACACTATACTAGCAGTGGAGGTTTGTGTATGTGAGCAATCAAAGGGTTAAATGTGATTGATGTAGTGGCGGGCAATCCGATGCTATCTGGGAGGAACGCTAACTGACGCTAACACCGTCTGAAGTCTCCTGTGACACTAATGCAGTGATCAGTAAAAAAAAAAAAAAAAAAGTGTGTACACTGTACTAATGATACTGGAGACAGGGCAGTAAAGGGGTTAACTGGAAAGCGATCAGGGGGTTAAATGTGACTTAGCTGTGCTTTTACTGTAAAAATGTGCTGTTTTTACTCACATACAGTGGATATGAATAGTGTACACACCCCTGTTAAAAGGTCAGATTTCTGTGATGTAAAAAAAATGAGACAAACATAAATAATTTCATAACTTTTTCCACTTTTAATGTGACCTATAAACTGTACAACTCGTTTGAAAAACAAACAAATCTTTTAGGGGGGAAGTAAACATAAAAAACTAAAATAATGTGGTTGCAGAAGTGTGCACACCCTCTTATAACTGGGGATGTAGGGGAGTGGCCTGAACATGGCGCTGAGAAATGAGCATTCTTCCAGGATCTACAGCTCCCTGGGCTGTCCGAAGTAGCGCAGACAGCCCTTAACCTCCTTGGCAGTATTCCCAAGTGTAGCTCAGGGTTAATTATCCGTGCCAAAAGCGGTAACCCTGAGCTTCACTCGGGATTACCCTGCAGCGTTGCTGTGGGATTCCCTGTTTCACTTAGTGGCTTGATGTCACCTTTTCTGCTCCTGCACCCAATCACTAATCCTCTTTTCTTTTTTTTTTTTTTTTTTCCCTGCTGGGTTTATAACAACCCAGGGCGTTCTCTTGGTACCCGCCAATGTATTTTCGCAGGTAAGACACGTCTTGACTTATCGGTTTTTCCCCACCTGCAATTCTCTTCTGGAATCACAGGATGTTTCCCAAGCAAAATTTTTTACCTTCAATTGCTTCATTGGCTGAAACCTTTGCATAGCATCTCTGCCTTCCCGTAGCAAAAATCAGCATTCGAACTGCGTTGCCAACAACACCCCGGTGCTGCTGGCCTTGTTTCTCTGCTTTCTGCATCCTTAAATAGGCGCTCAACGCGGACTTCTCTATCTTGTGTCACTCAATGGAAGCACGAATTGTGGGCGGTTGTGGAATTGGAGGACTGGAATAAGGCCTGATCGTTTATTGCCAAATGTTCATTCAACACAAATACTCTGGAAACGGCATACAAGTATTGTTTCGATGGTATTGGGTTCCGGTCGTATAGCTCAGGCGAATTGTGCCTATAGTTATTGCTGCTTTTGGGGTTGTGGCATAAAAATAAGAAAAAACTGCCATACTAATCAAATTATAATACTATATTTTTGTAATATTGCCGACTCACTTTAAATATAGTGTGAATTGTAAACCCAGCAATACTTAGAAAAACAAAATGGCAGTTGACTAGTGCAGACCCGCCTGAAAGATGGTTTATATTAAATCCTATGCGGAGTAATATATCACTACATTAGTGAATGCAAATATTGAATTTATTGGATCTCATGGATCGTGAAAAAGGTAGACAGACATGGTCCACATGGTACAATCATGTTTTAAAATCACAGAATTAAAATAAAGAACCGTTTGGCATCTTCAAAATAGCTGTATGGACAAAAGTGGTCAGTGCGAGGCTGTAGGGATTCCTCTGTGTTCATCAGATGAAATTTCCATACTTGATGACCTAATAAATTAGTTTTCCTCTTTAACTGTTAATGAACATCAAAATATGTATGGAAAGGTTCCTAGGAATAAATTATGGATAATCATGAATTCAGAAGAATAAAAAGGCTTGTCATCACCATTGCAGCCTAGTCGGATACACATATGCAGGTAAAAATAGGGTTATTAATATATATTTCATTACCTTCTATGTGGGTGTGCCATGTCTTGTAGATAGTGGGCATGGATTTTCTTGTGCAACCAGAAATGGTGAAAAATAATCCAAAAAACTGTAATATTGAAATTTCATAATGGAAACCTGATCAATTCCCGCTGATGAGGTGAAGAGCATTCATATATGGGTAATGATGATGAAGTCCAAAAATGTAAATATGGAAGTCTCAATAAATTGCATTCAGACATTACTGGTTTCTTTTTAGATGTGCCCCTCTAGGGGTTCCAAAAATTCCTCTTATGTAAGAGCTAATGCGGTTCCTATAGGGATGCGAGAGACTAATGTTCCATATCACAAACCGTGTAACACACGGTATAAATATACCTATTCAATCCAAAAATCCCCCTCAAGATAAGGCTCAATCAACTCTATTGTTGCATTGGGTGTATAGTCCCGTATCAAAAAAATTGCGGTTTGTTATGATGCAGCTAAATGTACTAGTACTTGCCACTGGTGGAAGTGAACTGAGCCACTTAGAATCGCCTAAAAAACTCCTCAGAGTAGTTGCCTTGTGGTCTTTCCATTTTGCCTCATGCTTATCCAAGATGGAGCTGCATCGCTTGCTTCCCCTCTTGGATACCGCAGCCTATGAAGACGCCAAGTGTGATGTCATAACGTTGACTCGTTTCGTCCGCCAGTCATCGCAGACTTTGTCAGAACTGGGAGGGGGACATCTCTTCCATTGCTTTATATAGTGCCTTAATTGCGCCTTTTTACAAAATATGTCGTCCTCTTGTGTTGAAATGTCATCACTACATTAAAGTAAAAAATTCCATAAAAAAACACATGATTGAGAAAAATGGCCAAATACACTCAAATCTATTACAGATAGTATTCTTTATCATAAATATATTTTCTCTTCATGGTTATCTGATGGTTACATGGATGTTAATATAATTTTATATATATATATCTCAGTCTCCAAAATTCTTTAATTGAATCTACTCTTTTTATATTCTTTTTAGTTCAGAAATGCTTTGAAATTCTGTTCAGTATTTAATCCCTATGGCAGTAAAGTACCTAATGTATATATCCAAAATGTCTCTTTTTGTAAAAGTATTTTATCAAAATCACCTCTCCTTGAAGAGATATTTAACAGGAAAATTCCCTTCACTTTAAAACCTTCTGTTTTCCCTTGATGTACATCCTTAAAGTGCTGAGCTAAAGGATTATCTTTCTCCTTTTCATTTCTTTTTTTGTTTTCATTTCTAATATCTCTCAGATGTAATCCAATTCGTATTCTTAATGGTCTTTTGGTTTTCCCTATATAAATTTTATTGCATGGGAATTCTATCATATATATCACTTTACTACTGGAACAATTAATAAAGTTTCTAATTTTAAGCATTTGAGATTTATCTGTATAAAAAAATTGGTCTGTTTTGTGCACAAAAGGGCAAACTTGACAATGGCCACATGGATACATTCCTATGACTTGTTAAGCTAACGTTTTATATAATACATCAATGAAAAGACATACACAATACATAAAACATAATTTCTGTTGCAAATTGCAATAATTGGACTATATATCACCATAGACGAAAACCCCAACGCGTTTCAATTAATTGGATTTATAATTTGAATCTTCAGGGAGAATGAGGTGAAATGCTATAACCAGTGCTCTAGAAAATAATTCAATAATGGAGGAAAAAAAGACGCACCATATGAAGAGTGACTCGCATCACCATTCATAAAAACAGAAATTCAGAGGATCCTTGCTGGTTAATTCCTGGCATAGTCTATGCAGACAGACCCCTCAGTGGTCCAACTGAGTGAATGAATGCTAAACATGCTCATAAAAACCATAGATAATCGCCTCCCGCCTGCCATATAGTAAAATGATGGACGCAAGGCGGTTTTTCTCGTTCTGGGAGGACGTCGTGTGATGTCCTCCCATTCTTACCGTTCATATGCGGCTCCGGGATCGCGCAGCGCGGTGATCGGTGGTGCGCTTGTGTCCCTCGGACACAGCGGATCAACAGAGCCGAAGATGCCAGCTCAGTCATGTGATCAGCTGTGTCCAATCACAGCTGATCACATGTAAATAGGGAAATGCCGGTTATCAGCTTTTCTCATCACGAGCTGTCACGCTGACAGCTGGAGAGGAGAGCCGGTAATCGGCATCCTTCAGAGGGGACATGTACACTAATCATCAGGGCCCTGATGATCTGTGTAGCCCCAGCAGTGCCACCTGTCAGTGTCCATCAGTGCCAGCTGTCAGTGCTCATCAATGCCACATTTCAGTGCCTACCAGTGCATATCCATACCACATATCAGTGCCCATCTGAGCTGCCTTTCAGTGCCACCTATCAATGCCAGTCAGTGCCGCCTATCAGTGCCCGTCAGTGATGCCTGTCAATGCCCATCAGTGCCACCTATCAGTGTCCATCAGTGCAGCCTATCAATGCCCATCAGTGCAGCCTCATAAGCGCACATCAGTGAAGGAGAAAAATCACTTTACAAAATTTTATAACAAAAATAAATTTTTTTTTCTTCAAAATTTTCAGTGGTTTTTGGTTTAAGAAAAATAAAAACCCAGAGGTGATTAAATACCACCAAAATAAAGCTCTATTTGTCACAACAAATTATAAAAATTTCATATGGGTACAGTGTTGCATGACCCGCGCAATTATCAAAGTGCAATAGCGCTGAAAGCTGGACATTGGCCTGGGCAGGAAGGGGGTACAAGTGCCCTGTAGGCTAGTGGTTAAATACATTGTTGGAATTCTATACAATATATATGAAGGGAAAAAAAGGGGAAAAGGAACTCACGTAAAATTGTCTAATAGAAGTCAATAGGGAATTGCAAAGGGTAACACACCCTTCCATCAAGCACTTCAATCAACCCAGACATCTGAAACAAACTAAGGAGAGGCAAAAAAGATTAAAAAACAGCCTTGTCCTGAATAAAATCAGTAATCCACATAAAGTGTACAGATGGATAAGTCAATAAAGGCAATAATTATACCTGGACTAGATTACTGATGAGCTTCCCCTGTAAGAGCTATAAAGTGTGGAACCAACAAAATGTTTCTACAAATGGTCTCTGAAAGGTATACAAAAATGAGATACTAAGTATAGCTACTCATAAAGATCAAACAACAAGCCAATGATAACAGATTGTATACCTCTTTCTTGTATCAGGATGTAAACAGTCCAGAGAACCGCCACAGCTACAGCTCCCACTTAAAGAAAGTGAACAGAGACCAAACAGCTTATATAGCTGTTAGAAATCAATGAAGCCCCATGAAAAGCACATGTCCAACACTGCCCAATTGAAAGACTTTTCATCCAAGGCAGTCTGTTGACTGCCTCACAAGGGGGGTTGTCTACATTATGTCTTGCCCCTGTGGAGCCTTCTATGTGGGCAAGACAATGCGTGAATTCTGGCGTAGGATATATGAACATACACATGCCACATCAAGTTGCAATATACTGTATGTATGTTAACACTCCACAGCGCAAAATTTTTTAAATAAATATATTTTCAATGAAAAATCATATGTGCATATAACAAAAGTCCAAAAGAAAGTCTCTAAATGATAAATGTGCTCCAATCCCAGAAACTGTGCTCAAAATAATATTCAAAAGTGCTCACACCATCCATGACTGTCTTTGAGAATGCCCTGGAGGAGGGGCGAAACACGTCGACGTATTTTCGGTCTCGGTGGATGCGTAGTGATGTCACGTCTGGTGAGTGGAGTACACGCTGGTTTGCGGTGTTCCGGAGCCATTTCCTGTTTTCCCTGATGGTATATTGATTTTTTTGCCATTTGCTGCCAGTCCACTTCTGAAGGAGCAATCTATATGAAGTTGTGAAGTTGTTTTGTTACTATAAGCTATGCTGTGAGCCTCAAAAGCTTATTTACATAGAAGCGTAAATATATTTTGTACCATGTGAGTGCATTAAGGGCAACAATTTCAAATAATAGTTTAGACAGTATTGCTCTGTTTGTGTTTTTTATTTTTTTCCATTGCCATCTATATGTGGGGATCGCTTGATAGGTTTTTCCTTTCATGAGCTGCAGCATTTATATTTAGCGCAGGTTTTATTTTATTTATTTAAGTTGCAATATACAGGTGAAACTCGAAAAATTAGAATATCGTGCAAAAGTTCATTTATTTCACTAATGCAACTTAAAAGGTGAAACTAATATGAGAGAAACTCATTACATGCAAAGCAAGATAATTCAAGCCGTGATTTGTCATAATTGTGATGATTATGGCTTACAGCTCATGAAAACCCCAAATCCACAATCTCAGAAAATGAGAATAATACATGCAATCAATAAAACAAGGATTGTACATAGAACAATATCGGACCTCTGAAAAGTATAAGCATGCATATGTACTCAGTACTTGATTTGGGCCCCTTTTGCAGCAATTACTGCCTCAGTGCAGCGTGGCATGAAAGCTATCAGCCTGTGGCACTGCTGAGGTGTGTTATGGAAGACCAGGATGCTTCAATAGCGGCCTTCAGCTTTTCTGCATTGTTCCGTCTCATGTCTCTCAATTTTCTCTTGGCAATGCACCATAGATTCTCTATGGGGTTCAGGTCAGGCCAGTTTGCTGGCCAATCAAGCACAGTAATCCCACAGTCATTGAACCAGGTTTTGGTGCTTTTGGCGGTGTGGGCAGGTGCCAAGTCCTGTTGGAAAATGAAGTCCGCATCCCCATTAAGTTTGTCTGCGGAAGGAAGCATGAAGTGCTCCAAGATCTCCTGGTAGACTGCTGCGTTGACCCTGGACTTAATGAAGCACAGTGGACCAACACCAGCAGATGACATGTCTCCCCAAATCAACGCAGACTGTGGAAACTTCACACTGGACTTCAAGCATCTTGCAGTGTGTGCCTCTCCATTCTTCCTCCATACTCTGGGTCCTTTGTTTCCAAATGTGCTGCAAAAGTTGCTCTCATCAGAAAAGAGGACTTTGGACCACTGAACAACAGAGCAGGTCTGTTTTTCTTTAGCCCAGGTAAGACGCTTCTGACGTTGTTTGTTAAGGAGTGGCTTGACAAGAGGAATACGACATTTGAAGCCACATCCAGGATCCATCTGTGTGTGGTGGCTCTTGATGCACTGACTCCAGCCTCAGTCCACTCCTTGTGAAAGTCCCCAACACTTTTGAATGGCCTTTCCTGACAATCCTCTCCAGGCTGCAGTCATCCCTGCTGCTTGTGCACCTTTTTCTTCCACACTTTTCGCTTCCACATAACTTTCTATTAATGTGCTTTGATACAGCACTTTGGGGATATCCAACTTCTTTTGCAATTACCTTTTGAGGCTTTCCCTCCTTATGCAGGGTGTCCATGATGGTTTTCTGCACAACTGTCAGGTCAGCAGCAGTCTTTCCCATGATTGTGATTCCTACTGAACCCGACTGAGAGACCATTTAAAGGCTCAGGAACCCTTTGCAGGTGTTATGGCTTAATTAGCTGATTAGAGTGGTACACTTTGAGCCTAGAATATTGCACCTTTTCACAATATTCTAATTTTCTGAGATTGTGGATTTGGGGTTTTCATGAGCTGTAAGCCATAATCATCACAAATGTGATAAATCACAGCTTGAACTTTCTTGCTTTGCATGGAATGAGTCTATCTCATATATTTAACTTTTTAAGTTGCATTACTGAAATAAATGAACTTTTGCACCATATTCTAATTTTTCGAGTTTCACCTGTATATTCACCCATTGGTAGACATATTGTTAAAGTACATGGGTTATAGAATGCAAGACCTAAAATTGTGGACCCTGGAAAGGGTATTTTTCAATAATAGGGGGGTGATATCAATAAGATTCTTTTACAAAAAGAAATTAAATGGATTCATCGTTTAAAAGCTAATGTATTTCCAGGATTAAATGAGAAAATAAGCTTTAAACCATTCTTGGAAGGCTTTGTTTCTGGCAAATCGGAACATAACCTGTAATTCCTAGATTGTAAGCTCGAAAGAGCAGGGCCCTCGAACCCCTCGCGTATTGTATTGTTACTGTCTTGTCTCATGTTCTGTCCCCCTTGCTACTGTACAGCACTGAGCATACCCTTTGGCGCTATATAAATACTGTATAATAATAATAATTACGGAGCCCTGGATTGTGTGTCTTGGCTTTTTTATAGAATGAAGTTGACTTTTATATTTACATTTATTTTTTTTTTTATTTTTCTGTTTAATTATGGATAGTTTTTTTGCTGACTGACCGCTCTATATTGGAAGATATGGGAAATCTTTTTCCCTATATCTCCCTTTTGCTGTGTCACCATATAGTCTCTTGAGAGTGTTTATACTGTATTTTTAACATTATTGTTTGTATATTGCTTATTTTTTTTTTTAATGATCCTTTCTGGTCTTCCCTATGGCATCGCTGTGCATCCAGCATGTGTGGCACCCATACACGATAATTTGTGGACTGGGGGTCTCTTTTTGTCCCTTCTCTCCTTTGCTTAGGTTGAGCGTTTGTTTCCCTTTTCTCCCTTTGCATCAGAGATATGTTGCTTGGCAACTCTGGGACACATGCGTGCCGGCACTGATTACGCTGGACTAGCAGTGACATTCTGATACAGGACATGCGCCGCAAGTGATGTCATGCCATCCTGGATGTCAGCGGCGGACATCTTTAGTGAGGGGAGTGTTTAACTGATCGCCTAATGGGGAGCTGGTGTGCTTTTTCATGTGGCTTCACGGCCTTGGCCGTGTGTTTTGGGTCATTGTCCTGCTGGAATACCCATCCATGACCCATTTTCAATGCCCTGGCTGAGGGAAGAAGGTTCTCACCCAAGATTTGACGGTACATTGCCCTGTCCATTGTCCCTTTGATGTGGTGCAGTTTTCCTGTCCCCTTAGCAGAAAAACACCCCCAAAGCAGAATGTTTCCACCACCATGTTTGACAGTTTGATGGTGTTCTCAGGGTCATAGACAGCATTCCTCCTCCTCTAAACACGGTGAGTTGAGTTGATGCCAGAGAGCTCAATTTTGGTCTAATCTGACAACTCACAGTCCTCCTCTGCATCATTCAAATGTTCAGTGGCAAACTTCAGATGGGCCTGGACATGTGCTTTCTTGAGCAGAAGGACCTTGCGGGCATTGCAGGATTTCAGTCCTTGTCGGCGTAGTGTTTCCAATTGTTTTCTTGGTGGCTGTGGTCCCAGCTGCCTGGAGATCATTGGCAAGATCCTCATGTGTGGTTCTGGGATGATTCCTCATTGTTCTCATGATCAATGACACTCCATGAGGTGAGATCTTGCATGGTGCACCAGATCTAGGGAGACTGACAGTTATTTTGTGTTTTTTCCATTTGCGAATTATTGCACGAACTGTTGTCACCTTCTCAATAAGCTGCTTGGCGATAATTTTGTAGCCCAGTCCAGCCTTGTGTAGATCTATAATCTTGTCCCTGACATCCTTGGACAGCTCTTTCGTCTTTGCCATGGTGGAGAGTTTGGA